GGCATGAAGCTGAAATATTCATCATATCATTAAACATTTCATGCAAACATAATGTGCTGATCTTGAAGGGAAAAAGTGAAAAGCTGGACCATCAGATGTTTAAAATCACTCCATGATACAGAAAAGATTTTTTAAGGTAATAATAGTATCAATTATATACTGAGGGACATTTTACAGTTCTTTAAAATTAATAAAAAGTTATTGTGACGCATTAGCTATATACACTGTTACAGATACTGAATATCTGCAATAAGAAGCCAATGAATTGATCTGGTTCTACCCTCTAATGCCTTTGACTGACAGAAATAGAATCGAAAAATCTGATCATTTTCCATCCTGATTAAAAATATATTTTGAGTATTTGAACTGCTGCTACGTGTGTAAATTATTTATCTGTATAAATGTTGTTGTCTAAATTATTCCTGTTACTGTTGAGGTGTCCTCACCTCCAGCTCTTGGAAGAGTCTCCAGCTTTCTTCCCATTGTTGAACTCCATCAAAAAGCTCTTTGTGATCTTCATAATGCTGCTTCAAGCGCTGGATCTCAGCATCATGCAGATACAACAGCTCCTCAGTAAAATCCTCTACAACAGTTGATGTCACCTTAAATGTCAACACTGATACAAACTTAAGCATCATTCAATTTATAGTGGCTGAAAACAAGATGTGAACCCACCACTAAGATATGGTGCAAAGGCCTGTCGCTGGTCGGTGCTGAAGAAGCACTTTTCCCAAAACACAGCGATCTCGGAGCGGATGGCATCTGTGACATTACGGATGTTTAACAATTTGAGCTCCTCCAGACGCTCAACTTCTCCTTGTAACTGAAACAGAAAACTAAAAGTGTTGCCAAAACAGCAAAAACAGCAGCCACAGTGCTGGCGACCACAGATGGTGTTTGACAGACATGAACTAAAAGTCCTCTCACAGCCTCAAGGTTCCTCTTCTTGGATGTGACCATATGCTCACTGAAGGCACCTCTCTCCTCCTGAGGAACCTGCAGTCGCTCCCACAGCTGCTGGATCTTCTCTCTGTGAGTCTCACACATCGCCTCATTCTCTGCCTTTCGTTCCTCCAGCTGCAGCATCAAAATGGCAGAAAAGTGGCATCAGTTCATAACTCTGCAGCTTTGACAGTGTTCGCTGGTTTTGAATTATACCTTTAACCCAAGTGGTAATAGAGCTGTAGAACCCCCAACTGGAGAATTAATTGACAATGTAACTTAAATTGATGAGTCCCAGCCGCTGCTGCTACAGAGCACTTATTTCATTTGTATTAATATTCAACATATCTCGTTCAACACACGTAACAAGTGTGAAGCTCATAGTTCTCCAGATATGGGAGACACAGACAGAGATTTCTCTGAAAACTCATATTATTATTATCAACAAAATGCATTTATTCAATATTCAGGAGAAAAAGCAATGATTACCAAAACTATATTTTATCCCAACCTGGATAAACAGAAGGAACTGGATGGATAAATGGATTAACTATAAGAATATTATTAACTGAATACCAAGTTTACATAAAATAACATAAGACATTTTATAGAAGTAATATCGCCTACAGCAGGCTGTAAAAGTATGTTAAGACAACAAATACTCAGTATAATGTTATAAAAAATTACGGTACCTGACAAAGGAGCAGCTTGAGCGCTGTAATATTGTCGCTGGAAAGACAAAACGAGTCCTCATCCTCACAGACCACGTCTTTCTCAAAACTGGTCTCAGGGATGCGATCCAGCTCATCCATGTACGAGATGATCTGCTTTTTCAGGTCCATGAACTCAGCATAACGTTTTGCCTGTAAACATGACAGGGGGACAGATTATACTGTGTCCTTTTTATTTTCAGGGCATGTAAGACAACAAGCTCCCACCTTCTCTGTGCTCTGATTGGTGATGTGCTGGCTGAAGTTCTCCAGTTGTTCCGGTGACGGCACAGATTCCGGAGCGATGCCGTATGGCATTGAGCACAAGATGTCGCACAGGTCCTGGTCCTGCTCCAGCAGATCCTTCAGCTGCTGCATCCTACGAGTCCTCTCCTTCATCAGGGCCTCCACCTGTGTGCGGATGTTCTTCTCTTGCTGGAGCATGCTAACACCCTCCTCTTCCTGAATATGCAGAGAACAAATTTAAGACATTTCTCCATCTCAAGCTTTTTTCTTCAAAGCTGAACTGTCGTCACAGTTCGTAAATCTGATCATCAGGATCAGATTTAGTATTTTGTATTAACTTGTGTCACCAATAGTTTCAGAATGAAATGAACAGTGAGTAAGCAGGTTAATACTGTTTGAGACATATGACACTTAATGATCCTTCTGTCATCAATCTGGAATAGAATGTGTAAGAAACGTTGAATTCTTTCTGAATGATTTCTGAATTATTCCAACACTGAAAACATTGTTACCTCAAACACAGGCAGCTGAAGTTCTAGGCAGAGTTTCTCCATTTCTGTCCTGCATGTGTGAATGCTGCTGAGGAGCCTCTTCTTCAGACACTCCTCTTCTTTGATCATCATTTCTAGTAAGCCCTGGTGGATATACATACATGAATTACATATAATACAGAACAATGATGTGTATATATCAAAATATCCAGTCAATGATTATTCTGGGGATCATTTTGGCCGACATGGATACAGATTAATGTGTTTGGAAACCCATCATACACAGCATCTAGTTTCAATGAAATGTCCGTGGTAAAGATGTAAAAAACTAAAAAGGCTGCTTCATTAGTACCATCAGTACATCGGGGTCAAGCAATAGTCGTTAGGAAAGAAGATTATTTTGACTTTTTCTGAAGTGTCTCTCACAGCAGAGCAGCTGCACTGGGCTGAATTCATGTCTGTATTTACACTAAACTGAGCAACGCAACATCTTCCAACAGGTTGTTGTTCTGCTTTGGAACATTTCGATATCGCAGCTCCCTCTCTTCATTTAGTCTTTTGGTCTCTCGACCATCTCCCTCTCATTGTTGAGTCGGTAATCTCATTAAAAGTGTGTGAACATTTTACATCAAAGCCTCAAAGAAAACCTGTGCAAAGCTGACATGACATACAGTAGCAGCACAACATCACTGTGGTATGAACCTTAACGTTGTTTACAATCCATCAGTAAACCAAGAGAAGAAGACTGGCTCCCTCATGTTTTCTCTTCAGGTTCATTCCACAATATTGTCGCTGTTCTATGTGAAATCATTTTTTTAATTTTGCAGTTAACAGTCTCTGAAGGCTTCAATGTAAAAGGTTCCCACACGTTTGACGACTTGTCTCTGCCGTCTTGTTAGTGGTGTTTCTCTTCGACATTTTTCAAATGTATACTCCAGAGAACAGACGGTATCGTCACGTGAGCTGCAGAAGGCCACATTGTCCGTGTGTTACCTTGATGTGGTTCTTAACCACATTTGTTCTCTGTAGTCTCTGGTCCTCCGGGATCCCAATCTCCTCCCAGATGTCCTTCAGATGACACAGAGCTTTGTTCAGGCACGACACCGCCTCTGCTGCCAGCACCTCACTGATTAAATGAAGAAGAACACAAACATTACATTCACAGGACGCATCAAAATGATAAAAACCCCATCACTGATAGAAGCCATGGATCCAGCCCACAACTAAAAATGTTTATTAAATAATCTCCGCTGCTGGAATAAAAAACCTTTTAGTCGTTCAGTAGAACACTGTTAATATCACTGTGTCAGTGACGCCTTCAGAGCACATGACTGTTTGAAGCTCGGTCCTTCCTCCTAACCCTCTTTAATAAGGTGACCTCAAGTGAGTCTGAGGTGATGCCAATCACCGAACCGGCCTTATTTATCAACCGAATGGGTTTAATTATGGTTTAACTAACACGTTTTACTATCGTGGTTTAACTAACATGTGTGACTAACATGTGTGACTGTCATGGTTCTAGAGTCAGACACCATCTCTACATTTAAAGTTAAAACGTTCCTCTTTGATAAAGTCTATAGTTCTGGATCAGGTCCTGAACCATCACTTAGTTATGCTGCTATGGGTCTAGACTGCTGGGAGAACTCCCATCATGCACTGAGGGGGAACTCCCATCATGCACTGAGCACTTCTCCACTTCTCTCTGTCCGTCATTCTTTATTTTAATACATGTCAATAACTGTGTTGCTTTTCTCTCTCTCTCTCTCTCTCTCTCTCTCTCATGAGTAATCTGACTTGGTTAAGTGAACATGTTTTAACTATCATGACTAACGTGGTTAAGTTAACATGTTTTAACTATCATGAGTAATCTGACATGTTAAGTTAACATGTTTTAACTATCATGAGTAATCTGACATGTTAAGTTAACATGTTTTAACTATCATGACCGTGCATCGTCAGAAAAACAAAGTTCATTTTACCTCTTTCTGGTTTAACCAACATGTTTTAACTATCATGATTAATCTGACATGTTAAATTAACATGTTTTAACTATCATGAGTAATCTGACATGTTAAGTTAACATGTTTTAACTATCATGACTAACGTGGTTAAGTTAACATGTTTTAACTCTCATGAGTAATCTGACATGTTAAGTTAACATGTTTTAACTCTCATGACTAACGTGGTTAAGTTAACATGTTTTAACTATCATGACTGTGCATCGTCAGAAAAACAAAGTTCATTTTACCTCTTTCTCATCGTGGACTTCAGCTCGAGTTGTGGTTGAAGGTGTTTGCTGACCTCGGGTAGTTGTTTAGTTTAGTTTAGTTCAACTCAAACTCTAAGATTCAAAACAACTCAACTCGTTTCTGAGCAGAAACTTCTCTTCATCCGTTTGTCTGTTGTTCAAAATCCGCGCACTCTGCTCTGTGATTGGCTCCTTCCGCGGGAGCGCGCGTTGTGTGACACTGCCGTGTACCGCGGGGGCGGGGAGCTCACGAAGCTCACAGTAACATGTACCCGCCCACCACGGAACGACCCGGTGAGTGAAACAAACGCTCAAACCGGTTTCCTGTTGAAACTTTATTTTAAACTGAAATCGTCACTTCAATAAATCATGTGTCATGTATGTGACGTAATCAATCATGGATGTGATGTCATAAATCATGTGTCATATATGTGAATATTAATTCATGTGTGTGTCATGTAATAAATCATGTATGTGACGTAATCAATCATGTATGTGTCATGTAATAAATCATGTATGCGATGTCATAAATCATGTGTCATATATGTGATGTCATAAATCATGTATGTCATGTTTGTGTGTCATGTATGATAGATAGTAAATCATGTGTGTAATGTAATAAATCATGTATGTGTCATATATGTGAATAATAATTCATGTGTGTGTCATGTATGTGATTACTAATAAATCATGTATGTGTCATGTCATAAATCAACACTTCACCTCTGACAGATTGTGACATAGCTCACTTCTGTCACAAACTCAGAAAACAGGAATGCTGTAACATGTATGAGATATTTCTTTATACGTTTTGCGTAGGAATTTGATTTTTGTGTCTTCTATCTGATTACTAATCATATGACACAACAACAAGCAGATCCGTTCTATATATTTTGAAATTGAGACAAAAAACACAAGGAAAAGCTTCAACGTCTGTTAAAAACATTCACTGTTTTTACATGAGACATCTTCACAGTTGTTTTGACAACAGAATCAGAGCATGAGGAAACTTTCCATCTGTCATGTCAGAGCTGGAGGGAATGAAGCATGAAGAGTTCACTCAGACATGTGTGTGGCTTCTGTCCGTCATGATGAGCTGACACGTCTCACACATGGTTGTCCAGCAAAGCTTCAATTAGCCTCGAACTGTTGGTGATGGCAGTTGTTACCACAATGAATTTATAACCTGAAATCAGAAAACAGCGTCGTTAATTAAAACAAGACTGTTTCACTCAAAGCAACAAGAGCAGCAGAAGTGAAAAAAACTCCAGCACCGAAACTCCAACACTGAGAGGAAGGAGTGGTGGATATATCAGTCTGTATTCTATATTATTATTATTATCATTGCACACTGTAGGTTGTTGGTCCATTTGTAGTTGAGAATTTTATGCTTTCTGTTCACCTGACCCTAGAGGGGGAACCACAAATGGAAACTAGCGAGTAGCTAAATTTGCTTCAAATCTTTTTTTGAGATTAATTTGATTCATGTATGTTCGCAATAACTAAATAACCTTTAAATTACCCTTTCTCTCCTTCGTGTTCTTTAAAAAAGTTTTCATTTGGGTGCATATTGGAATCTAGATGACCGGTTCACACTTGAAGAACAGAGGGTCACGTTTACCTCTCTCTCTGCCGAGGAAGCGTAGGGCTGAGATCTCAGAGAAGGTGCAGCCTCCGAGGAACACGACCAGGACAATGCGCTGAGCATCATTCTTTGCTCTTAAATCTGCTCCGTTGCTACCTGATTAGACAGAAAACCTCATCACTCATTACTTCAAACAGCGACATGTAGCTTCAGTCCTGCTGTTTGTCTACATGGAGGTTTCCCAGAGAAACCAGGTCATGTTAATCAGATAATACATTTATTTCTTCTCTTCTGACCTGGTGACTAAACCCTTGTATGTGTGTAACTCCACCGAGTGATGCAAGCAATGATTCTTTTCTTCTTGATTTGTTTTTTCTTTTCTTTTTTTCTTTACTGCCCAAATGCATCTTAATTTGACTTAAAGTGCTGAAAACTTAAACATCTAGGCAGGTTTGTGCAAGTATCTTAATTTCAACAGATAAAAAAATTATTCATTTTTAATATCTCCTTCAACTTCAACAAATCTCCTGGTGACTGAACCTGTTACAGAAAAGTCATGTCCATTCAGCAGCCTGGTGACTTCTTCAAGCCCCGTCCATCCATCTCGCTCCAGCACCTACACAACACACGAGGAGACAACACGACACTGACGTACATATCACAACACATTACACACACTTTCCTCATGTTATTGTCTCTAACTAAACAGTCGCTCAGTACATGGTGAAACGGACTGAATTTAACTGGGCTTTTTCCAGTCTTATTGGCCACAGAGCTTTTTCTATCACACACCATTCACACATTGTCAGCACAACAATTCTGAAGCAGAGTGGAGGAGCCGGAGTTCAAACCACTGACCTTCTGGTTAGTGAACGACCCTCTCCACCTCTTGAGCCACAGCTCAGATCATCCTTCTGATTCACTCACCTGCTCAATGAGTTTGCAGCTCAAAGGGATGTAAGCTCCGCTGAAGATGTAAGCCATGTCTCGTGGAACCCGCAGGTCATATTCTTCATCTGACTTGGGCACCTTCACACAAAAAATGATAATCCAGTTTCTAATCTTTGTCAGTGAGATGAATAAGATTCTTAGGAAATAAATCTAGAAAAGTTGACAAAACTTTACCAGGTTCAACTTTTTACTCAAGGCTCTGAAATTACTCTTCTTTGCCAGAGAGGAGAAGGCGTCAGTCAGCTTTCCTGGAAGAAAAGATAATTTTAAAAAGACAAAAGTGATGAGGATCAGGAGAGTTACACAAAATGTACACAAAACCATTCATTAGTCATATCCAGTAGCCAGAGATTCGATAACTGTGATGAGGAAGAAGCCGTTTCACCTGCAGCTTTGTCGTTGACCAGTTTACCCACTTTGCTCTCCATGACGGTCAGTGTTTCGCCCGGCTGCTGCTCCACCAGCAGCCCCGACTGCCTCAGGTGGGCAAATGTGAGCAGGTGGTCCACTCCGTAGCTCTGATGATGTCAAGCAGACTCAACGTTACACAAAGGTGGCTCCTAAACTGTGGGCCACATTAACATGGCACAGCCATATTCGGTCAATTTCTGTTTGTCAGTGAATAAAAAGACCAATACATACGAGTTGACCTCTCTCTGACTCTCTCTGACATCTGACACTGTCCTGAGTCTGTGGCTCTCAGTAAAAAACTCATTAAATCGACTGAAAACTCAAGTGTTTGAAAAAAAACAGCTGGCCATTGTCGTTCTTATCAAATGTTAAAGAAGCTGGTGGAAATAAATCATTTACTTTACTTGCTCAGGAGCAGGCCGACACTCTCTAAAGAGGGTTATAATATGTCACTACTAAATAGGCTAACAAATAAGAGGAACTAATCTCATTCAGATCTTTATACAATCAAACACCAAATGACCTCACCCCTAAAAGGACAACATTCCCAGCCTGTTTGTATCAAACATACAAAGATAGAAAATAACTTCAAGAGAAGTAAAAATACCACAAATAAAATATCAAATGTAGATGTTTCCTAAAACTATGTCTAATTATTTAGTGACTTTGAAAACATTTGTCAGCAGCTTCTCTTATTGAGGCTCACCTGTAGATACTGTGATTTTAACGAGCGGTAATCTTTTGGCAGGAGTCCTGAGAGAAAATAACATCTCACAGTTATTAACACAACTTGAGAATAATTAGATTTATATTTGTTTATCAAAAGACAACTCACCATTTTCTGTGATGGACAGAAGACAAAGCAGCCTCAGACTTTCTATCATGGAGACCTTTAAAAAAAGAAATAAATAAGGTTCCATCATATTATGAAAATTATTATTTGACCTGTTTACAACTCTGTGTTTAAGTAAAAGCACCTGTCTGTTGATATGCTCCTCTATGAAAGAAATACATTCACGAATTTCAAATCCTTCAAGTAAAGCTAGAAGAGAAAACAAGGAATAAACAAAAATATGACTGAACAAATCATTTATTGACGAAATATTTTTCAAGGTACACGTTTAACTAAACTCTGAATGTAATCTTACAGTGTTCTGTTTTCAACAGCTCCTGGAAATCCTGCTTCGTCTTTTTCTTCATGATTGATTCACTCGCACCGATGTCTGGAAGAGAGAAGGTGCACTTCAGCACTGCAGCTTTAAAATACATCACACAGTACAGGTACACATGTACAGTAAAATATGTCACACTACAAGGACATGTGTACAGTGAAGTATGTCACACTGTACAGGTACACATGTACGGTATAATATATTACAGAACAGGTACACATGTGCAGTACAATAATGTCACAGAGTACAAGTACATGTGTACAGTAAAAGTCGTACTCACGCAGGCTTAGCAGCCGATGCTCTTGTTTTAACCCTTTTAACTCTTCTGACACAAACGTCTTCATCTGCTTTATGTCCATCCCCCGACGCTTCTGTCGAAGAATGAAGAAAAAGAGTCAGTTACCTCAGTTGAGTCACAAAGTCTGATGAGGGGAACGAACATTTACTCACATCATATGCAGTCTGGAGATTTCTGGCTTTCTGACTGAGAAACCCAAAGACGTTGGAGAAATGCTCGTTTCTGATTTCATTGAAGACCTACGTGAGTTCATAGAACGTTTAACTTTTAATCATCATGATCAACATGATCAGAGATGAGATCCAGTGTCGCTCATACCTTATCCTGAGAGTTCAGCATGACCTTCAAACTTTTGTCAGAGGAAGTAACATCAGCTCCAAACTCCACACATCCTGCAAAGCAAGGCAGTTTTATTTATAAAGCACATTTCAGGCACAGACTGTAGAGGGATATTAAAAACAACAGACAAAATTAAACCCATGGCATAAAACGACAAAATAAAGGAAGCTAAAAAAAGGTACAAAAAATAAAAAGGATAAATCTGTATTTTAAAACAAGTTAAAGGAGTAAAATAATTCAAATGTCGATTTGAGACCCACCACATTTGATTCTAAATATATCATCCACGAGTCCTTCGTAGACAACTTGAGAGCACAGAGGAGTGACAAAGTCCACATCTGCAAAACACAATGTTGATGTTAAATAATAAAAAACTGCATGGTAAGATGTCCACTGGGAAAAGGATACGAAGCTTTTTACCTCTGTCGATAAGAAAAACTTTTCCTATTTCAGCCTGACAGGCTTTTGTTTCTTCCTCTTCTACCTGCTCCCTCCACAGCTCGTACGTCATCTGGCACCAGACACAATCAATGAGGCTTCAGTCCTTCATCAGAACATTATCTTTAGAAGACCTGACAGTCTCTGATCATACCACACCTTGGAGCATCTTCCAATCCCGTAGATCTTGGAGAACGGACCGTAAACAGAGTGAAGGAGGTGCAGAGCGCTGGCAGCGGTCCTCACCCAGCGCTGGTCCCCTGCCTGTGGAAAGTTTGATCATTTACAAACTACAACTACAAAAACACAAGCGTACAGTTATTTTTGTAAGTAAAAATGTCTGTCCAGACTAATAATAGTTGTAGTGAAGATTTTGAAGTAAATTATTAAATGTTATTAATGTGTTTCGTCATACGAAGAAAACATTTTTGAGTTAAGGATAAAAACATGTGATGTGAGGTCACAGTGACATTTGACCACATCAGTTCATCTTTGAGTCAAAGTGAACATCAAGACATACCCTCAAAGAAATCTTGATATCTCAATTTTCTTTTGAGAAATCACAGCAACCTTCGACCTTCAAAATCAGTTCATTGAGTCTATGTGAACGTTTCTGCAAAATTTTAGAAACTTCACTCAAGGTGTTCCTGAGATAATTACGTTCACAAGACCAAAAGGTCAGTTCATCAGTTCATCCTCGAGTCAATTAGAAGAAATTTCCTCACATGGTTCCTGAAATATTACGTTCAGAAGAGCGGGGCCGATAGATGGACAAACAGACGGACGGACAAACTTAAACAAAAAAAATACCGTCAGCTTCACAGAGAATCAACAAATCATATCAGCTCTTTTTCAGTTTCTGTCTTTACCAGGAAATTGTCTCGAAAGAATTCTGGCAGCTCCAGACTGATGATGTCATCGTCAAGTGGAAGAAGGTAGAACGCCCATTCATCGATGGTCACATCTGCGAAACGACAAAAACAAGTTTAACAACTTCTATGAACTTTTTATTAACACTGATTATTTCTACTCAAAATAAATGTGAAGACAGAAAGATTCTCACCACCAAAGATCCCCTGCTCCTCCAGCACCGCCTCACATGCAAAGAACTGGATGACACAAGATGGTCGGCAAGTAAATATGTGGTATATAACTTCTGTATTAATATAGATCACACGTTTACATAGAGCATGTATGTGCAGCACTTCCTCTATCATATATTAATCATATGCCGGCACAGCCATCAGAGGCAATTCGGGGTTCAGTATCTTGCCCAAGGACACTTCAGCACAAGGACTGGGGGAGACAGGGATCGAAGGACTGTCGTCCCTGTTAGTGGATGACTCGCTCTACCACCTAAGCCACAGTCGCCCCATATATAAATATCAAGAACTTCATTCAAAACAAATCACAGCAGCAGAGCAGGAAATACCTTCTGTGGGGTGAAGATTATCTTGTATCTTCTGAATCTTCCTGCAGCTTTGTCTGCATTGGCCACATCTGGAACAAAGAATACAGCATGAAATACAGACCTTAGACTTTTGATGCAAGTGACAATATGATGAAGTCACAGAGTTTCTACAGAGTTCAACACCAAAGTTCCAGAGTGCACATGAGACCAAAAACCTGCAAAACATTTTCCTTGGTCACACTGGTGCACCAAGCATTGAGCTGGTGTCTCTGTATTTGATCGAGTCGAGTTGCTTCATCTTCAACCCTCTGCAGAATTTACACTCACACACACAGACTGCAGCAGAGATGAGAGAATGAGAAATGTCAAACAGTGGTGACAAAAAAGTGTGAATACAGGGTTTCCACTACAGACCGCTAGTGATAAACACTTAGCGTCGCAGCTTCAGCATCAGAGCAGAAGCAGCAGTTTGTTAGTTTGTACTGTGTCAGAGTTTCCCACATAAAACTCTTTACAGCAGGAAGTGTGAGATCACAGAATAACAGAATAGTAAGATAGAGTCAGTTCAATAACTCAACACATCACGTTTCAACTCATTCTAAAACAGGTAACTGAGATTTACTGACATCTGATAAACGGACATTCAATAATGTTTTCACCTCAGGTAACAAACTCAACACAGGGTTAGGATAACTTTATTCCTCGTAGATAAACTAAACATGAACAAAAAAACAACGCTTATGTAATTAGTTACATTTACAGCTGATAATTTTCAATTTGATAGTTTCTCCAGTGATAGTTTTCTTTGTTGACTATATATACATGTATCCATCTTTCTGCTATAATTTCATTCAAGATCTATGAAATAAACATAAAAAAAGTTGAAAACATTTCAAAAAGAAAACATCTGACTCTACTTACCACAGATCCACTTTACAGTGTGTATTCTTGGCCGGATCAGGAAACAGAGTCTGAGAGAGACACAGCACATTGTCATGCAGTCACATCATCGTGTGTGTGAGTGAGTGAGTGTGTGTGTGTGTGTGTGTGTACTCACTGATCTGAGGTGCTGACAATAGATTTATATTCCACTTTGTAGAGTTTGTCAACCTCATGTTGCTGAAATAAAACAAGACCAAATGTTAGTAAAAGCCTCTGAGGCAGCGCAGTTGTTTTTCTCATGTCAATAAGATAAAAGCTGATGACTTTCACCTTAAGTGTTGAAACATTAGCAATACGATCCAGTGGACTCATCAAGTCAGCCTCAATGAACAGGTCCTTCTTCCCTGGCAGCTGTGAGACAACAAGACAGTGAGGACAAAATCTATTCAACAGCAATCGATAAAATAAAGAACAGAACACTACAAACAGAAACTTTTACTGTGTAGTAAAATAATATATTATAATAATATAATATGATAAGAGAACAGAATATTACAGACACGTTTACTATGTAATATAATAATATAATATTATTTAATAAGAGAACAGAACATCACAAACAGACACTTTTACTATGTAATAGAACATATTAATATAATATCATATGAGATATACTGATTTATTTCTAACAATAAAACAGCTGCTTGATCATTTCAGAGTAATTGAGTGTAAACCGTAGACTGTACATAAAGATGTATAACATTTGCTGAGGACACTGATGTTTTTACAGAAGTGTGTGAGTGGATCTCACCTGTTCCAGCAGGTAGATCAGCTGATCTCTGGCCAGCCTCTTCAGCAGAGAGAAGTCCGGGAGCTCCGGAGAGTCTGTTCGGCCACCGTGAGCCATTCTGGGCCACAGCAGGGACACGAGGGTGGTGACTCATCCACTCCTCGAAATAACGAGTAAAAACTGTCCCATAAGAATCAGACTCAGAAACAACAGAACCCTGAGAGCTCGACTAGCTTGTTGGCTAAAAACACAGCGACTCTCACAGATTACTGTCAAAGTGCTGACACCGATATGAAATGATAATATTCATTAAACAAAGGAATCGACCCTGATCTCACCCTGATCTCACCCTGTAAGAGAGAATAAATAAGAAGAATAAAGAGAATATCTGACACATCACATGAGCAGCTAGCAGCTTCTGTAGCTAAACTGACAGCTGTTTATCCCCGGACTCTTCAAACCAACGGACCCCTCTACTTCCGTTGATGCGACGTTTGACGCAGTGTTATTTCCTGTTAATTGATTTTTCACCATGAACTCAGACGCACTTCTGCTGCTAGAGACGGTTCATTTCTCTGCAGAGAAACATCGTAACCAGCGACGCAAAGATGCGGATAAAACTCCGTATATCAATCATCCAATCGGTACGTTCTTTACCGCCATGACTTCAGGTGCTGCTCGCTAATCTGTCCGTGTCACCGCGGAAACTACAACTGGAGCCCCGTGACCATAGACTGTATCTAAAGTGAAATCTTATGATACTTGACCTTTAAGTTCAGTGTTCTGACCATAGACTGTATCTAAAGTGAAATCTTATGATACTTGACCTTTAAGTTCAGTGTTCTGACCATAGACTGTATATAAAGTGAAATCTTAACTTCGTGTGTGTGTGTGTACTTTTAGGAGTAGCAAGAATCCTCAGCCATGAAGGAGGCGTCACAGACATTGAGGTTTTGCAGGTATGTTGTTACTTGGATTCTTTCACTGTGTGAACGTGTCCTGGGCCACGTATGAAGTCTACTGAGCTGACGCTAAACTTTCACAATGAAACAATAGTATGTTGACACTTTTCAGTCTCGACACATTGATTTGTTTGTGGTCACAAAGTCCACACATAATGATTAAATGGCGAAGTCTTTCTTCTTCCTTCTTGTTCATTCAGTCCCTCCTCTCTCGCCCACTGCTGACACAAACACACACACACACAAACAACTTTGTCATGAGACACATCTGTAAACTAAACTTTGTAAAAACAACATTATTTCTTCTTCTTGAACACCAATGACAGTTGTGATTATTTGCATAAAGGGCAGGAAGTGAACAAGCTAAACATGATCAGTTCTCAGGACAGACGTTAAGAGCAGGTGTGAATAGGGCCTCAATCACTGAACTGTACATGTCCTGCCCGCAGGCTGCTCTGCTTCATGACACCGTGGAGGACACTGACACCACGCCTGCCGAGCTCGAGATCAAGTTTGGGCCGACCGTGGCTCATATCGTCCAGGAGGTGACCGACGAGAAGAGTCTACCCAAACAGGAGAGGAAACGTCTGCAGGTGGAACACGCGGCTCATTGCAGTCATCAAGCCAAACTGGTCAAACTGGCTGATAAACTGTACAACCTGAGGGACCTGAACCGCTGCACACCTGTTGGTCAGCATTTCACTGCTATCACGCTGTTCTGTTGTTTTTAAAGAGCTTTACTACAATTCTTGGCAACAAAAATATTTGGTTAAAGTACCAGTCCTTCACAGTGTACCGGTTACTCTATCCATGTGTGTGTGTGTGTTTAGGTTGGACAGCGGAGCGGGTGCAGGAGTATTTTGATTGGTCGTCAGAAGTGGTTAAAGGCCTGAGAGGAACGAGCTCGGTTCTGGAAGAGAAGCTGGACGAGCTGTTCAAACACAGAAGAGTCTCAACAATCTGACTGAAAACTGAAGATTTCACTCACAAATATATTAAAACTTCATTTGTGCTAATGCTAATAAATCTTAATTTCTTACTTCTTAGTTGTATTATTTTGCTGGGACATTTAATTTTTTATCTCTTGCTACTACACTGTTGAAACCCATCCAAACACTTGAGCTTATGTTTAAACTTTGCTGTAGTGACGTCAGGCATGAATCAGTATTTGGAAGTTGTAGGAAACTGTTTTCTGTTGAAGACCCTCAGACACAGTTGCAGTCACTTTTTCACCAAAGACATATTTCAACATATTTCTAGATATAAAAGTTACATCTAAAATAAATAAATTCCATCTACAATGTCACATTATTAAAAAAGGAAAATAGAGATATTTTCAATACAATAGAGGGATATATTGATGGTTACAGTTATATCCAGGTTTATACAGTTGCATCAAAGAATTTATTCAAGAAGGTGGGAGTAGCAATTATAATTCCAGAATTTTTATTAAAATAGGGAGAAAGATGAGTGAGGGGCTGTAGGTATATACAGGAGAAGTAATTGTATAATGTGAGTGGATAGAGGACACACAGCCATTAAGAGCATATTTTGTTCAGATTCAAGATTATCATTAGTCAGACATTTTGATTGAAAGACAACAAACCGAATACTCAATTCAAATGAATTAAATGTATTAAATAAATAAAATGCACTGATGTGTCCACCAGCTTCAGTAACGACTAAGAATATCTTTAAACAGAAGGAAAGGAAGCAGAAACAATGGGAGAAAGACATGAAAGGACAATCAAAGGAAAGAGAGAAATGAGACAGACAGCAAGAAACAATAATATCAACTTTGCTTAAAACTGGAAAATATGATTAAATTACAATGAAATATGAGCAAGAAATAAGGCAGCTAATTGTTAAACTTTGGATTCAAGTAAATTTAGACCAAAGAGATATCCTACAAAACAAGTAAAAAAAGTTATAGAAAAATGTTTGATCAAAAAGTAATATAACAGTAGTTTTTAAACTTTAGATTATGTAAGACCACCTATGGGCGGAACCATTGACAGAATGCTATAGGAACAAATCCACTTCCTGTCCGGTGACGAGGAAGCACTTCCGCTGTCGAGGAGACTTGGAGCTGGTTTGTTGTGTCGCAGTCGAACTGTTGTTATTTTCCTCTGAGCAGATTTACAGAGGTTCGTCTTCCTTCTAACACTTTCTACTACAAACCTGCTGGTTCGTTGTCGCTAACCACAGTAGCATGGATACAGTAGCATGGTCACACTAGCATGGATACACTAGCATGGATACACTAGCATGGTTACCGTTCTTCATTAATCCGAGTCTTTCTTGGTTATATTTTATTTTCCTCTCAGCAGTCGAACATGTCCAGTCACGACGCGCTCAACATGAAGCTGCCGCCGATCCAGTCCACGGCCGGAGCCGTTCCGGTCCGGAACGAGAAAGGTGAGATGCTAGCGGCTAGGCTAGCGGCTAGGCTAGCGGCTAGGCTTTATACAACGTTTCTACTTCAGGGAAAAGTGGTGTCAGTGTAGTACACAAACTGATACTTATATCCTCAAATACATTTATCCTGATATATTTCTTGGCATATAAAACTTGACAAATGATTTATGATAAAATCATGAAGTATGATTTTGTTTGGGTTGATTTGTTGACTAATTAGCATCAGCTTCAAAAACTGAAATAAAGCATCTCGAAAAGGAGACGTTGTTGTTGCACTGAATAGTATTTCAGGTCAAATGTATTCAAAGAAACATCCTAACATTCTGTGTTAGCGATGGAAACCTCAGGACCAAACTCATCATTGGGGTCTCTTCATATCTTAGGTGAGCTCTCCATGGAGAAGGTGAAGGTGAAGAGGTACGTGTCCGGTAAACGTCCTGACTATGCACCAATGGAGTCGTCTGATGAGGAAGAGGAGGATTTCCAATTTGTAAAGAAAGGAAAAGAAATGGAGCCAGAGATGGAGCAGGAGGAAGAGGACGTCTCTGACCCACGTCTAAAACGTCTGCTCAACCGTGTTTCGGAAGACGTGGAGGAGAGGTATTGCACCGCTATTTAAATTCAGTCTGAATCGACTAATATGGGCACAGTGTTTTGTGTTTCTTCAAATTTAGTTACTTTGTCCACAGGCTTGCAAGACACAGACAGATCGCAGAGCCTGAGGTTGTTGCTGAGAGCAGCGAGGACTCGGATGAAGGCACGTGGCACCCAGAGCATGAGGAGAGTAGTGAGGAGGAAGAGGAGGAAGAGGAAGAAGTGGATGACGAGGTTAGTTATTTCTGCTTTAAAATTTTAAATCATTTCTTATATTAAGAGAAATTTTTAACTTGGAGTCTGTCATTCTGTGTAGGAAATTGAGAGGAGACGAGCAATGATGCGGCAGCGTGCAGTGGAACGAAAGAATGAGGAGATGGAGGTGATGGAGGTGGAGGAAGAAGGGAAGTCAGGGGAGGAGTCAGAGTCTGAGTCTGAATATGAGGAGTACACAGACAGCGAGGATGAGGCAGAGCCGCGACTCAAACCTGTCTTCATCCGCAAGTATGGACTGAAACTTTAAAACCACAAATGTTTTGGCAACTTTCCTTTGTCTACATCATGAGTCAGCTGTTTTATGAGAGACGCTGGAGAATTTTACCAGATCAGGACACGTTAAGATTTTCAGAAAACATTCACATCAGCTTCAGTGGAAACAAAATTATTAACATTACTGTGTTAATCAATTTTTGCTGTTTGCCCTTGAAGCACAAATTGAAAATTAGCATTAACCCCACTTTCAGTCTGGAGTTCTCTTACTTTAAAATGAGTCTATTGGAGACTTGATCTCGTAACTGGAGAAACTTAAACATTTTAGCAAACTGATCAACTTACATCCAGTAAATTAGCTGCTGGAATAATAATCCTAACCCTAAAAATCATGGATATGAGATAACAACTCTGTTGGTTTGTGCCACAGAAAGGACAGAATCACAGTGGCAGAGCGTGAAGCAGAGGAGCAGAGGCAAAGAGAGCTGGAGGTCGAGGCCAAGAAGCAGGCGGAAGACCGACGGCGCTACACGCTCAAGATTGTGGAGGAGGAGGCCAAGAAGGAGTTTGAGGAGAACCGTCGCACACTGGCTGCTCTGGATGCTCTGGACACTGATGGAGAGAATGAGGAGGAAGAATACGAAGCCTGGAAAGTCAGAGAGCTGAAACGCATCAAGAGGGACAGAGAGGCCCGAGAAGTGTGAGTAAACGGAACATGCACATGAACTTGATTAATAAGCTCAGTTGTCATTGATTGTTGATGAGAGTGTTTATCTTCAGCATGGAGAAGGAGAAGGCTGAAATCGAGAGATTCCACAACTTGACAGAGGAGGAGCGCAGAGCCGAGTTGCGCAACAGCGGCAAACTCGTCACCAACAAAGCGTCTAAAGGAAAATACAAGTTTCTCCAGAAGTATTATCACAGAGGAGCCTTCTTCATGGTGAGTCAGTGGAATCAGTTCGTTTTGCAGCCCCAAAAATCTGATCTCACAAGCTGAAGTTCTGTTTTATCTATTTTATGATTTATTTGTAGTTTTTATTATACCTCTGCCAGCGACACCCAGTGGCCGGAGGCATGATTTTAGGTTGTCCGTACATAAATCCGTCCCATTCTTGTGAATACAATATCTTAAAATTTGGTACAAACCTTCACTTGGACTGAAAGATGAACTGGAAACCAACTGTATAACTTTTGAAGCTACCACTGATGCACAAAAATGAACCAAACAATTTTAATGTCTATCCAAAGTGCAACAGCCGTTGTGGTCAGTGGGATGTTGCATCATATGTCTGAACATTGTGTAACACTGACGACCATAGCAGCTCCACTCAGCACTTTAATTAACACAGAAACATTTAAATTTGATGTGGTTCTACCGACAGTTAATCCGTAATTACCGTTGGCATGTGGTGTGTGTTGCAGGACGAGGAGGAGAACGTGTACAAGAGAGATTTCAGCGCTCCCACTCTGGAGGATCATTTTAACAAAACCATCTTACCCAAAGTCATGCAGGTATGCTGCTTTTCCTCATAATCCATTTTAGTTCTGCTGGTTTCATGTTGCAGGCCTGGAGGCTTGAACACTGTTAGTTAAGTAAGTTTATTTTTAAAATCAGAAAAGTGAAAACATGGTGGACGAGTCAGTTTGCTGCTTAACAGTTTATTTTTTTGTGATAGAAATTGAGATTTCCTTCAGTCTTGACCCAAAACATTTTCCTGTTTGATCACCAATCTTTTTAATGTTGATGGTAACTTGACCGGTCTGATGTTTTGAATCGCTTTCAAACAAAGGAAAACTTTCGCTTCCCCGATTTCACCATTGTCTGGTTTGTTTTCTCCTTTAAGGTAAAAAACTTTGGCCGGTCTGGACGTACCAAGTACACCCACCTGGTGGACCAGGACACCACATCATTTGACTCCGCCTGGGCCCAGGAGAGTGCTCAGAACAGCAAGTTCTTTAAGCAGAAGGCTGCAGGTGTGAGGGACGTGTTCGACAGGCCCACGGTGAATAAGAGGAAGACTTAGATGTGACGTCAGAGACAGATTCTCTTCCCTGGACTTTGTTGTGGAAGGAAACCAGATTCTGCTGCACCATTTAAAAAGAACCTTTATCCACATTGGTTTGTCAACTTGGAGATGAGATAGTTTTCCATTGTGCATGTGCAGAACAAATTCTGAGCCACACCACTAAAATCCCCTTCAATTTTTAAACAAAGAAAATGTGTAAATATCAGTTTATAACATGTTGCAGATTTCCTTCATTCTTTTCTTCTAATATGTAAAAGTACAGGTCTTGTCACTTGATTTATTTGCAAATAAAATCTGAAGTTTCATAATTTTAAAAACTTTTTTCAATCTGTTGAAAAGTATTGAAATTGTGTAACATTTAATCTCAGGTAAAGGAAGAAAGCCGAATGTCAAACTTTATTTAAAAAATGAAAAACAAAAAGGATTTGCAGTTTAACCACTGGGATTAGTTCAGTATCACTGTAGTCCATTTGGTAAATGTTCAATTAGTGAGAGCGACCAAAGCTTCCACCACGTTCCCCATGTGTTCCCTTAGACTGCGCTCGGCCACCGCCCTCGAAATCTCCATCTCAGACATCTGCAACATCCACAGAATGAGAGACAAGTTCAAACTGTGCTTGATGACAAACTGACGGTATAACTGATTAGTTTTATGTTGCAGGTGTGTGTGTGCTCCCAGACTCCCAAAATGGGTGCACACACAAATTCTCGCTCGCTCCTTGTATTTCACGTGACGGCCTACAAGATGATGATACAAATCAGAAAACAGGCATATTTGCAAGTTGCACTGTCTCCTAAAATAATCCCAAAATAAAACTACAACATCACAGTGTGGTGCCCTGAAAGTTCTACAAGAAACATGAAACTAGCAGCAGATGAACGGCCATGATTTTTAGTATGAAATGTTCTGGTGTCCATTTACTTTTGACAATCAATTCCTCCAATAACAGATGTGGAAAAAAGACAAGTTAAGAACTTACAATTAGTTCTACGTCCTCTTTCTTGATGGTGACTTTGGCCAACTCCTTTTCTCTGAAAATATAAAAAGGGCCAGACAAACATTTTATGTCAAACGTGTCAGGAAAATTCTGCAGATTACAGACGTCACTATCACAGCGAGTTCACCTCAGCATGTTGATCCAGGATGAATAAAAAGGTTTGTGTCACTGTGGATGATCTTACCTTTCCTGTTTGGCTTTCTGCTCTCGTGACCGTCTGTCTCCAATCACTGACATCGCCTGAAATTAAAATAAACATCTGTGTTAGTACGTTGGGACAGTGAAGTGTTGTATGTTAGAATGT